GAGGAGATCATCCATATCATTCCAACCTGGGTATGAGGAACTGTTAATTATGATGGTTTTCACCAATCTGATGGGAGCAAAATGGGATCTCACAGTGGCTGTGATTTCCCCATCCCAGAGTCCTGGTGATGTGTGCTCGGTATGGCCTGCTTGCTAAAGAATTTCTCCATTCTGATAGCACTGTTGAAGCTATTAATATTTCTTACATGTGGGATTTAAAAATATAAATCAGTTTACATCCCTCCCTTATCTGAAACCTTCCAATGGCTCCCAGTGTACTCACAATAAAATCCGCTCTTCCCGAGACCCTATAAACCCTGGCCATCCGCCCCTGCCGTTCTCTCCCTGTTCAGCAGAAAGCACCCCTCTTGCACCGTGCTTCCTGCACACTGGGAGGCCCTTTCCCAGTTGTCAACTGTGTCACCTTGTTTCTGTCTCAGCATTGCTCTTGTGGCCCCTCTCTCACAGTGCTCTCTATTCCTCTGGGATTTCTACTCCTGGCTCTTTGATCAGTGCTTAGACTAGCAGTCCCCTCTCAGACAGGCCTCCCTGTGCTGTACCTAGTGGGGTTCTAGCTATTTTCTAGTCCTTCACTTCGCCCTCTTCTTAGCATTGATCGTGTTCTGATACTATCTCATGTGTCTGTTCGCTTGGTTATTATCTTTCCTGCAATGCTATATTTGCTCCACGAAAGCAGGCAATTGTCTCTCTCATTTACCGCTGAATCCCCTGAATTGAGAACAGTCCTTGGCACACAGTAGGTGCCCAATGAGTATTTGTTGAATAAGACAATGAGCAAATGAACCACTGGAAACACAGATCTGTGAAACAGACACTTTCCTTAACATCCTCAATATACTAAATCTAACTCAGTCACTGCGGTGAGTTTCTTAACCTTTCTAAGATCTGCATTTCTCAGCAGTAAAGTGGGAATAACATTTAATATCCACCTACCAAAGTTATTGTTCTAGATATGAGTATAAAGTATGTAACACTTTTCGCAAATGTCAGGTACGGCTGTAGGTAATTAAAAAATCACAGACATTATTCATATTACAGTCATGATATACATATATGTATGATACATATATATTATATATATGTACATAGATATATATGATATATATATTATATCATAATACAGTCTGACAAACACGGTTGTGTACTTGCAAATATATGTACACACATACACTTATATATGTTAAAGAGAAAATGCCTAATTTAAGGCATTTTTATACATACCTGTCGATAATCACAGGAGATTTGGTAGATTCTTTAGCTATTTCAGAAGCCACAATATAATTGCCCAAAGAGTAAAAAGCTCTTCTAATGATGGTTGGTTCATCATCGAAGATTTTCCTCCACTGGCCAATGCAAGAGGGTGGTGACTTTAAGAGGACAGCATTGAGTAAATCTGAAATCGACTGAGTCACTGTGGTTTTACCTGCAGGTCATACACAAAACATAGCCCATCTTAGCCACAACCACCATAGGACCCCCGAATGCTAATATTAACCTAGAAAGAACAGAGAAATTCTTTCAACCTGAAAATCAAAGGAGTTGATTAAATAATATAATTCATTATAAAAAGTTGCAGACCCATAGGAGCTTGGGATTCCTCTGTTTGGTACTAGAATACTTGGAGGAAAACCCGGGTTAATGACAAATTATGGCATCAGAGATCCATATACCAGAGCACCTTTAATGTGCTATTTTTATTTCTGGCCAAAACTACTACTAACCCTCTCGCCGGGCCTCTCACCCTGGTTCTATCACTGCCCCCTTCCCTTGCCCCTCTGGGCATGGCCGTTAGAGATTCTGTATCTGCCTTTGGGCTGCCAGGTCCTTCTTAAAGGTAGGTTCCACTCCTGCCTCGCATTCCGGCTCCCTCTGCACAACCTCAGGTGACGTACTTGGCGACTTCTGGGGACCCATCTCCTAGTTCTTAGCGGCTGCCTGGAGCACAGGATGGGCAACAAAAATATGATCTACTCTCAGTAGCGGTCCAATGGCTTCTCTGAGCTCCTGGCACTTAGACTTAATTTTTTCTCTGGCGCACACTTAACACTTTATTATCAACTGTTTATTTTTTTTTCCTTGGGTTGTCGAGAGGGACCCTAACAGTAGCCACCGTTTCTCAGTGTCTACTATGGGCCATGCACGCCACACATAGCCTGCTTCTAATTCTCCCAATGACCCCCACAAAGTAGCCAATATTTAATCATCTTACGGAGGAAGAAACTGACACTGGAGAAGTTGACAAATTTACCCAAACTCGCCCTGCCGACAGGCCTGGCTGGGCCCAGGAGGCACGCAAACGGCAGACAGAGTCACCAAGGCACCAGCTCATGTTCGCATTGCCACTCCATGCAATCTCTCCTTGCAAATTGTGTGCGTGTGTGGCTGCCTGCGCTAAGGCTAAATCTTCATATATCTTGTTTGTAATCCCATGCAATCTCAATCAGCTCCAGTACAAAATCAATGATCAACAAAACACGCTGGCTGAAGGACTGATGGTGTTAGAATTCCCTCTGTGGTCGAAAAAACTAGGATTGGGCTGCGCCCAGCCAGCACACGCCAGCGAGACGGCCGGTCTCCCTAAGGCCAAGGCACAGCCGATCACTCAGATGGGCCAGGGCAGTCGGCAGGAGCCGTCACCTGGGCCGCAGGCAACCTAGCTGCGCACACGAAGGGCCCCTATGTGGAAAGTGCCTTTTATGTTATCAAAAATAAAAATCTGCACCCTCAAGCTGACACGGGAAAGAGAAACTCCTGGTGCTGACCCACATGGACATTAGTGTCCCCCAAGATCAGCCCTCTCCTGGGTGTCTCCTGCGCCCACGGAGCAGCTCCTCTCCCCCTTTGCGTTTTGCTCTAAGCGTGGGCACGCCACTGTATTTTGACATCTATTTGACAGCACAAAAGACTTTTTCCCTCCCTTTCCTAGTTCTTCCACATTTTGCTCCAAAACAGTTTATGTGCACACCTCTCCGATTCAGGAGTCTACGCTTTGCCTGTGCTATTTCTTCTGCCTGGAGGACCCTACCTGCTTTGGTCACCTGGCCAACTCCTACCTGTACTTAAAACATAATCCAGGTATCGCCCCTCACCACACATCCAACTCCCACGTCCCCCTCAGTGGCCTGATTCAGCGCCCTTCCTGTGTTCCCCAGAGCACAGGGCTTGGCTCTCCCGCACCTCACGGCGTGACGCTGAAGGTCCTACTCACCTTTGCACCCCACGGCCTGCCTGGCACAGTGCCTGCCGCATAGCAGAGGCGCACAACAGACTCCGTTTAAAGTCTGGCTTTGCAAGAACTATTTCTATTTTTGTGACTGGTTGAGGTCATTGCCTATAACCAAAAAATACGGAGAGAGGGGAACACTCCTACACTGCTGGTGGGACTGCAAACTAGTTCAACCTCTTTGGAAAGCAATATGGAGATACTTCAAAGCGATACAAGTAGATCTATCATTTGATCCAGCAATTCCACTACTGGGCATCTACCCAAAAGATCAAAAGTCACTTTATGAAAAAGACACCTGTGCTCGAATGTTTATAGCAGCACAATTCACAATTGCAAAGCTGTGGAAACAACCTAAGTGCCCATCAATTTATGAGTGGATTAATAAAATGTGGTATATGTATACCATGGAGTACTACTCAGCTTTAAGAAACAATGGTGATATAGCACCTCTTGCATATTCCTGGATACAGCTGGAACCCATTCTACTAAGTGAAGTATCTCAAGAATGGAAAAACAAACACCACATGTACTCACCAGCAAATTGGTATTAATGGATCAACACCTAAGTAGACATATAGAAGGGGGGAAGAGGGGATGGGTATATACAACCACAACGAGTAAGATGTGCAACGTCTGGGGGATGGACACGCTTGAAGCTCTGACTCGACGGGGGAGGGGGGCATGGGCAATATATATAACCTTAACACTCGTACCCTCATAATACGCTAAAATAAAATAAAAAATTTAAAACAAAAACGAGCAAGAAGGAAGACAGTCTCTGTTTCCCAACCCTATGAGTTTATTCCCCACCAGTCAGAACCAATTCCCAAGCACTTTAAATTCCCAAGCTATCTTTAAAAACCCTGCTCCCCTCTCCCCCCCAAAAAGTGCTATTCTCTTACCAGTGGCATCCAGTCCCTCGATGGCAATGACTGGGAACTTTCCTCTCTGGACCTGCTTCGGACACTGGTCAACCAGGTCAAGCACCTCCCGGGCTTCAGGAATGAAGGGTGTACACTGCAAGACAACGTCTGTCCGTCAGCAATGAAGTGATGGGGCTTCTGCAGAAGCCACATCTAAACAGCTGAGTACAGGATCTCCAAATGCTAATAAGGACTAAGTTACATGGAGCACCATGCCGGCCTCGTAGAATTCAGAGCACTTTGAAGCTGGGACAGGCTGGCCTGCTCTATTTTATACGGAATAGCTGCATCACTCAGCCAGCAGCCCTCAGTCAGCCGCTTCCCCTACAGGGGGAAGGCCAGGCAAGGCCCATAATTGCAGTGCCGTGTACACAGCAACCTTGAACTGCAGGCCCACCCAGGACAGTCTGTCATAAGTGCGGGGAACCAGGTACACGGCGGGCTCTAAAGAGAGCAGTCTGCATGAGCATCTCTTCCTCCCCTAACCACGCAGGGGGCTGAGAAAAGTGCCCAGCACTGCAATCGCAAGGCCAGCAGAGGAATGTCCTGCTGGGAATTCAAAGCTCCTAGCTGTGCATGAGCTCATTGCCTGCTCAGGGCGTCTCCACAAGGAGGCCCAGACACTTTATTTGTTATTTATTCATGTGCTTACTCTGAGCAAGGCGATCTAAGTGCTTTGTATATTAAGTTGGCCAGTCTCCATGATCAACTCTGTGAAGTTAATACTCCTATTATTTCTATCTTATGGATTAAAGGAGCAGAGGCAAAGAATGTCGAAGAAACGAGCTGAAAGTGACACACTTAATAAATGTCAGAGTTTGAATTCAATCCCGAGTGGTTGATCCTGCACTCTTAAGTGCCCTACAATCCTGTCCCATAATCTGGTAAAATATAATATTTCTGAGACCCACAGGGCATCCTCGGGAGGCCACATCTGGCTAGCTTGGCTTGTGGTCAGAAAGAATTTTCAGTCTCCTTTCTTGAGCACCTGCTGTGAGTCATTTCATCTGAGCAACGCTGCAATTTTACAGGCGAAAAAGAAAAGAGTGAGATGTAGAGTAGTTGAGTAACTTGCACAAGGTCCACCGCTGGTAAGTAGGGAGGCGCTACTCAAAGTCTAAGTTTCTTAAACCCCCCAAACTCCCACACTTTCCTCTACACCCCAAGATCCTTAATTACTTCCTAGAGGACATGGTCTTCCGCCACCCCAGTGGCCTCTTGACCCCTTCTGTGTACTTCCAGCTTGCATTCACAGCACAGCAAGCAGCGCTTCTCGGTGCTAGGATGCGCTCCACACCAGGGTGGAAGATCCTTGCAAAAGATGAACAATGTCTAGTACAGAGCCTGCCAGGTAGAACACCTTCCCGGACTAATTCGTGAATGCGCATAAACAAACCCCCCAGGCAGGAAAGGTCTTTAGAGGCCAGCTGCTTGTGTGGATGCCACACTGAGAGCTGGGAAGGGGCAGAACTCTTACCTCCTCCAAAACGGCCCGGGCGGCTTCCCGGCCCGGGAAGACCACGGTGCTGGGCAGGTCCGGCACCACCGGGTGCAGCGGGGGCTCCGGGGCGGGCAGGACGCGCGCGCAGCCCACCTGCAGCCGCTTGCCGTCCTGCACCGCCCAGAGGCGCTGCCACAGCTGGCCTTGCGGGTCGGCCTCGAACTCGCCCAGGAGCGGGCGCGGGGCCTCCTGGCAAGTGCCCAGCAGGCCGAGCAGGGCGCACCGGGTGTCGGGACCATCGCTGGGGTCGCGCAGCAGGAAGCCGTGCTGCGCGCCGCCGGCCTGGCCGCCCGGGCAGTAGCAGAGCAGCCTGCGCAGCTGGCACCGCTGGAAGGGGCCGCGGCGCAGCTGGTGCAGCAGGCGCTGGTGCAGCCGCGCTCCGCGGACGCGGGCCCTGCAGCCGGCGTCCGGGCCCAGCGCCACGCACAGGGAGTAGCTGCGCCCCGGGGGCCCCAGCAGCACCGCCAGGCGGGGATCGGGGCGCGCGTCCGGCGCGTCCGTGTGGCCGGGGTGGTCCGCGCCCAGGGCGAAGTGGGCCAGAGTGCAGTCGGGGAGCTCCAGGGCGAAGCGGCGCGGCGGAGCCATGGCCGGAGCGCAGACCCCGCGCCGCGCTGCCAGCGGCCCCGAGAGTCGCCCGAGCAGGAGCGGGGCGCGCGGGTTGGCAAAGGCCATGGGCGCCGCGGCGACCCCGCCCTCGGCCGCGCCTCGGAAACGAAACCCGCGCGGGGCTGCGGCAGGGAGGCGCCCCGGGGAAACGAAAGCCAGGCGCAGCCGGGAAACGAAAGCGGACGCCCTGGCGGGCAGGGGCCTCTCCGCACCGCGAGGGCCGCGCGGTAAACAGCCGGCGCTCCGGGAGGAAACGCTGGGCCCCGGGGCCAGGCGCGCGTCGCCGCTGGCGTAAGCTGTCCCCAGGCGCCGCTCCCAGGGCTGTGGCAGCCCCTGCCTGTGGCATCCGCCTTAGCGGGCCTCGAGCCCCCAGGGGCACCGAATGAAGACCCGCGCCCTCCCTAGGCCCCACAGAGCCCGGCGGCCGTGTTCTGTGGGTGGCAGGTGGCCCCCTGACCCCGGTTTGAATTCCTCCTCTGTCGTTTATGCCCAGTGTATTGGGGGGCGGGGGTTCCACGCGCACACTAGGAAAAGAGGGACAGAGAGGTCTCTTCTGGGTGTGACCATCTCTCTGGCATTGCCCACGGCTTTGCAGACTGCTTACCTCGGGATGACTGAGGAGCCGCTCGCCTGACCTCAATTCCCGACTTGGGTAGCCCCCTCCACGCTCCAGTCCCACACAGCTGCTTTTCCTGCCTGAACAGGGAGTGCTGTTCATCCACCTGTGCCTTCACTCACCTGTGCCTTCACTCACCTGTGCACTTCACTCACCTGTGCCTTCACTCACCTGTGCACTTCACTCACCTGTGCACTTCACTCACCTGTGCCTTCACTCGCCTGTGCCTTCACTCACATGTGCCTTCACTCACCTGTGCCTTCACTCACCTGTGCCTTCACTTGCCTTCACTCACCTGTGCCTTCACTCGCCTGTGCCTTCACTCACCTGTGCACTTCACTCACCTGTGCCTTCACTCACCTGTGCCTTCACTCACCTGTGCACTTCACTCACCTGTGCCTTTACTCACCTGTGCACTTCACTCACCTGTGCCTTTACTCACCTGTGCACTTCACTCACCTGTGCCTTCACCTGTGCACTTCACTGACCTGTGCACTTCAGTCACCTGTGCCTTCACTCCCCTGTGCACTTCACTCACCTGTGCCTTCACTCACCTTCACTCACCTGTGCCTTCACTCACCTGTGCACTTCACTCACCTGTGCCTTCACTCACCTGTGCACTTCACTCACCTGTGCCTTCACTCACCTGTGCCTTCACTCACCTGTGCACTTCACTCACCTGTGCCTTCACTCACCTGTGCACTTCACTCACCTGTGCCTTCACTCACCTGTGCACTTCACTCACCTGTGCCTTCACTCGCCTGTGCCTTTACTCGCCTGTGCCTTCACTCGCCTGTGCCTTCACTCGCCTGTGCACTTCACTCGCCTGTGCCTTCACCTGTGCACTTCACTGACCTGTGCACAAGTTTTTCCCTCTTTTTGGAATTACCCCACACACACATTTACTGACTCTCAACTTGGGAAATGTTGCACAGATTGGCACCTTTAAGTTGCCTTTCATACACCAAATTAAAGTTTCCTGCATTAAAGTAAAATGAGGTATGTCACAGGTAGCGTGATCACATGCTCTGCCAAACGCAAGTCCTGCATCAGCAGTATTGCTGCTTTCCTGGAACAGTGTTTTTACGCAGTCATATGGATATTTTAGACTGTTTTTATCCTTTAACTGAGTCTTTTTCAGATTGATAAGTAAGCGAGCAAAAAACCAAAACCAAAAATAGATAATAATATTCCATGGGGAAAATCTCTCAAAAATCTTGACTTGAAACAAAGATGGAAACCATTAGGTAATTGCTGAAAGCAATTACAATTTTTGTGTCTTAATCGAATTGGACTTAAGTTTGGAATTACATTTAATTCTGAAAAAAATCATTTTAACATACATGAAATATTATAGACATGTGGCTGAAGTATAATATAATAGGCTAAGAATAGTTAGGAGTTTAAGATGTTTTCAGGTCTTTGAGAATGGGGTCGTTTTCATCCTCTATGAGCAGTTTGACTTTCGGACAGCCAGTGCGTGCAGTTGTTTTCATGCGTATATAATATATGAAAGTAGGAGTCCGGCCGTGACCCTTTTTCTTCAGTGAGACAGTACCACGTCTTCCCGTGAGGCCTTCTTGACTTTCCCACACACCATCCGCCTCTCGGGATGTGTTTGTCATCCGTTAGGGCTGCCGTAACAAAATGCCACATGCTGGACAGATTCAACAATAGAAAATTAATTTCTCGCAGTTCAGGAGGCCAGAAGTCCGAGAGATTGAGGCCCTGGCAGGTGTGGCTTCCTCTGAGGCTTGCCTTTCTAGTTTGCAGATGGCCACGGTTTCAGTGTGTCCTTGCCCGGTCCTCTCTCTGCGCACGCAACCCTGGTGTCTCCTTGACAGCCCAGATTTCCTCTTCCAAGAAGGACACCAGGCAGATTAGATTAGGGTTCACCATCACGGTCTCATTTTACCTTAATCATCTCAGGCTGGGCGCGGCGGCCCACACCTGCAATCCTAGCACTCTGGGAGGCCAAGGCAGGAGGATCTTTTGAGCTCAGGAGTTCGAGACCAGCCTGAGCAAGAGCGAGACCCCATCTCTACTAAAAAAATGGAAAGAAATTAACTGGGAAACTAAGAACATATAGAAAAAATTAGCTGGGCATGGTGGCGCATGCCTGTAGTCCCAGCTACTCGGGAGGCTGAGGCAGGAGGATCGCTTGAGCCCAGGAGATTGAGGTTGCTGTGAGCTAGGCTGATGCCATGGCATTCACTCTAGCCTGGGCAACAGAGTGAGACTCTGTCCAAAAAAAACAGAAGAAAAAGAAAAAGAAACAAAAAAAGGCCCTATTTCCAAATACAGTCAGATGGTAAGGAACTGGGTGTTAAGGCTATACTATATGAATTCCAGGGACACAATATAGCCTATAATTCCCACCCCCCCAAAATCTGGGTCACTGGCCTCTCTCGGTGCTCCATCAAGGTTCTTTGTATCATAGGACCTTACACACTGCAGTCACTTGCCAGTCTGCTTCCTTCCCCTGAGCCCTTGAGGGTGAGCAGAAAGCCTAGCTTATTCCTAATTCCCCCGGAGCCTCCAACTCAGGAAAGATACCTTGGCACATGGTTTGCTGTCTGTCATCATATATTCATATATTTCTTAAGTTTCCCTGTCCACTTTCACCTACCTCTGTACTACTAGGAGATGTAAAACTAATGATATGATAGTATCTGGACTCAATGTTCCATAAGTGTTGAAGATATCGAAGATACAATTATGTTCATTCATAAAAGAAAAATCTCTGTCATCTTTGTGAGCCCCTACAAATTCCTAACACGGAGATTCTGATGGTCTCAGACGGCTGTTTAGATGGAATAAACTTGCCTGTACCCACCCACCCTTGTGGCTGGAAAGGAGAACAGCTGGGAGCTGGGAAGGTACTTCAAGGGGTTTTCTTTGAATGAATGAAGAGCACAGCTGTAGTCACAAGAAAAGCCATGGTCTTCCACAGTCACAGGTTTAAACAAGGAAAAATGAAACTATTCTAGCCATTCTGCTCAAAGGAAAAAAAGAAACAGAAAGAATTAACAAATATAAATATAATAATTAATAAATATTTTAAAAAACGTTTATTTTGTAAAAGTGCTTAGTTTTAATTTTGTATTTATCTTTTTTATTTTAAATGAGTCCTTATGCACTAAATGCTTAGTTTTTTTAAACCTGTTTAAATAGATATGCTTCTAGTTAGTTTATTCAAGTGGAAAAAAAGAGATAAAATATAAATCAGAATAGGAATACATGAGAGGATAGAAGCACAGATTGAAAAGGATACCAAAAAGAGAGTGTTACATACAATTCTACATTAGTAAATTTGAGTATTAGAAAATAAATGATGATAAGGCCGGTTGTAGTGGCTCAGGCCTGTAATCCTAGCACTCTGGGCAGCTGAGGCGGAAGGCTCACTTGAGGCCAGGAGTTCAAGACCAGCCCGAACAAGAGCAAGACCCCATCTCTACTAAAAACAGAAAAATTAGTGGGCTTGGTGGTGCCTGTAGTCCCAGCTACTTGGGAGGCTGAGGCAGGAGGATCACTTGAGCCCAGGAGTTTGAGGCTGTCCTGAGAGTTGGTTCCCGTGGCTGGACTCGTAGCAGGATGTGCCTCCGTGTCCTGCCTTCCCTGGAACCCAGGGCCTGAGGCCCGAGCTGGCCTTCCTGGCCATGGATTTCAAACTTGTCCCTGCAGTTCGCTGCTGGGAGAAAGGGCATCCTGTGGAATCCAGACGGTAAAGGCCCCGAGTGTCCGTGCCTGCCCGCTCAGACTCTGCGAGGCCGACATCCTTTTCCTGCTGCTTGGGCTCTGCCTCCTTTCGCCGAAACAAACCCCAGCTGCGAGTGTGACCTGCTCCCCAGCCAGATGAGTCCTTTTAATGAATCGGCAAACATGAGGGTGGGCTTGAAACTTCTAAAATGCAGCCCGATACACACATGCATACGCGCACATCCTAAGTGAAAAATAAATAAAAATTTCAAGGAACAGTACCCTTATTTTGAAGCACTTTGATATTGATACTATATTTCATTTATATAAACACACATGCACACACACAATTACAACTCTGGAGCCATAAATTAGTAAAAAGAAAAGCCAAATAGCTAAGGAAGATATTTGCAATACATATAACCAACAAAGTACATACGCATGCAGGCACTTGAAGATTTCAAGGGCTTGAGTCACATCTGTCATTGCACCACTGGTAATCGCTAAGCATACACTTGCCTATTTTAAGGGAAATGAAAGTCATTTCTGTTCCATTCGGAATGGGACACCATTAGAACACATACAACCAACAAAGTGACTATGCAGTGAATTCCCACAAATCAATTATAACATACAGAAAACCCAATACAAAAATGGTCAAAGGATTTGAACAAGCACATCACAAAAGAGAAAACCCAAATGGCTAACAGACATTTTAAAAAGGTGCTTAGCATCATTAGCATCAGGGAACTGCCAATTAAAACCAATTTATTTCAGTGCTATGAAGAGCAGGCAAGCCAATTTGTCAAAAGGTCAAAGCCATAGGTTTTAGTTGTCTGCGGAGGCCCTTAGTTTGCATTTACAGCTATAAAATCTGTACCTATGGCATTAAGCCATCTGTTTTATATAACTCAATAAGTTCCAAAGCAAGTCTACTACTTCTGAGCTCTGTTCTTAGATGGGCAGGGAAAGAGAAGTTATGAGAGAATAAGCATATGTTCAGAGTACCAAAGTGACTGATGGCTTTTGTGAGCCCCTTGACAACAGGGACTTTGAATTATGTCTTTATATTTTATTCATAGTTATGAACATTTTTATCTGATACACAGGAGGTTATCAATAAACCCTTATTGAGGGAAGGAAAGAAGAAAAGAAAGGGAAAAAAAGAAAGCATGACTAAATAAAGAATGAATGAATAGATGAAATAAACTGGCCTGGATAAAGTAGACTTAAGAAGCAATAATAAAATAACATGACAACGATCAATTATCGAGCAGTATTGCAAGTGCTTCAATCCCAGTTCCAATCTTTACTCCTTGCGTGACATAAGTATCCTCAGCTGTGAAATGAGTACCTGCAAAGTATAACACAGTGCCCGGCACACAATACTGTATATGTGCTAGATATTTCTAATCTATTATGCCAAGCACTACTCTCATGGCTTAGTATATATTTTGCCACAATTTTAAATTCCTTGTGTAGTTTAGACATCACTGTCCATATTTCCCAGATGTACTAGCAAGATCAAGCAAGCAGGTAAAGACTTTTACTGGAAATTATACAATATTGGCTGAACTAGCATTCAATCCTTAAAATGTTTGCTTCAATAAGCCTGTGTTGTCACCCTGTGCTATCTGTGATATTTGACTTGAAATGTAAACTGACTTGGTTTTCATTTCCTCATACTCACATGATCTAGCAAATAATATTTTCCAATTGAGCTGGACCATGGTATGAGACTTGAAAAGTGGACCTTAAGGACTTGGGTCATATTTACCCATCGTCACATAGCTGGTAATCAAATATACACTTGTTATTTTGCAGAATTTGCTTTCAGTTTCCTTTTAAGTAAAATGAAAGTTATTTCCGTTTCCATTCAGAATATGACATGATTAGAATAAAAATAGCTAAGCCTTACTGAACACTTAAAGTTTACCAGGCATTTTTCTGAGTGATTCACATATATTAGCATTTTCAGTCTACACAAAAATCTGTAGGAGACCCTTGCTGATGAGCAATGGAGGACCAGAGGAGTAAAGTAACTTAGCCAAAGTCACACAGCTTGGTTTTGTGGCTCCAGAAGCCTAAACAATAGGACCATGGCAACTTTCCGCAGGTCTCATGACGCTCTAAGATCACAGGCTTGAAGCTCAGGTGTGAGTAAAGAGGGCAGGAAGAAGGAAGAAGACTTCAGTACAAAAGTCAACAGCACTTTCTAAGAAAACTGCAAAGATAAATAAACAATGAAGTGCAGCGATTCTCAACAATTAGGAAGTAACTTGGAAAAACAGCCTATTTTCCTAGGTGGAAATATCGGATCAAAAGCAATACAGAAAGGCAGGAAAATCTAAACGTCTACCTTTGACACCGTATAAATGCACTGTATGGGGCACAAGCTGAATAACTGAAAGGGGTTAGGACACAAATTCCACTGTGCCCCTGTGCCTTTTACTGCCATCTGAAAGGGGTCCCTGAGGCTGATGGTTCTGCAGCCCTGTGCGTGGGCCAGCAGCTCTGCTCCTTATTTGACTTTAACCACAAATGTTCCCCAAGCCCCCCCCCCACCCCGTGTGAAAGGTGACAGGGTAGAGGCTACTTGGTGTTATTCTAGGAGAGAGTAATAAAGAGGGTGTCATACTATGGATTTCTAGATGGATACTTGTGTCTTCGTCTGTAACCACCTCAAGTCGAGAGTCTATGACCAGACAAGTGGACCGAGGCCACCCCTGGGGCAGAGACAGCCGGCGGTTCCTTCTGAACCCTCAGCTTTCTTGGCTGTGTTCCAACTTTCGTTTTCCAGAAGAGAAAATTGAAACTCTAACTCAGCTGAGTGTTTGTCATAAAAGGTGTGTCCTTCCCCCCCCTTGTGACAGGTTGCTCAGAGCTGCCAGTTTCCATCCCCATATAAAGCGTGTCTCCCGGGGTGCAGGGCAGTCCTGGGCATCATGTGGACCCTGGTGCCCACCACTTTCGCTGGAAAGATGCTGAGCACGTTCGGGCAGCCTCTGGGCTCTCTGTGGAGGAGCCTGGTCCCTCTGCTCTGCTGGCTGAAGACAGTACTCTGGTTGCCAGGCACCCAGAGGAGCCGGCAGCAGCAGCAGCAGCAGCAGCAGCAGCAGCAGCAGCCCAGGAAAGAGCCAGATGAGAACAGAGAGGAAGAGAAAGAGGACATCCTTCTGCCCACCACCCCCACCAGCGTCAACTACCATTTCACGCGCCAGTGCAACTACAAATGCGGCTTCTGTTTCCACACGGCCAAAACGTCCTTCGTGCTGCCCCTGCAGGAGGCCAAGAGAGGACTGCTTTTGCTGAAGGAGGCTGGTGAGTCCCCCGTCCCGGGCAGAAATCAGGATTCGCAACTGCAGGACAGTGGGGTGAGGCGACAGGGGGCTGGGGACATGCACAGGCTGGAGGGCTTCTCCAGAACTCTCCATCGCCATTGCCCATCGCAAAGCGAGTATGGCACCCTGGAAGGGTGAATCTGGGGGCAGGTGTCCAGGAGGAATTCCTAAACCATGGAGCTGCCTGCAGCCGGGGTTGGTGGAGCAGACTTCTGAGTGAGCAGAGTCTGTGCAAGGTGTGGGTCCCTGTGCCACCCAGTGTTCGTAAAGAGGCAGTTTGGGAAGATTATGCCACTTCTCTGTCCAAAGCATTAATTAATTTGGTTTTTCCAGACACAGTAACTGAAGAAAGTTGAAAAGGAAACAAAAAAAAAAAAACTTTGGCATAAGAATAGCAATAGTTGAGTCTTTTATTTTGGATTATGCATGTGCTTTTGTTACCTCCCAAATGGAAGGTATAAAGCCAAAAGGCACATCCAGGTAGGTTATAGCAAGGGGATTTTATTATTTGACACAAGTAAGGAGCACACAGGGGACGGTTCCCAGAGCAATGACTTTACTCTCAAGACCTGCCTACTGAACATCATCACATTAATAACTCGCACACATCTTGGAGAACTCAGCACGTGAAATTAGAATGCAACGTCTTCCATTCCAAATCTGTTCTTGCTTCCATCCTTGTCTTCCTGTCTTTGCTAGAGCACCCCCTCAGCTAGTAATTTCGGCAGTTTCGCAAACTTGTCTCCTTGTTTAACTTTTACGCTAAAGTATAGATTCCATGCACAAGACTGCACACGTGCTGAGTGCACAGCTCGATGAATCTCGCAGGGAGCACACCCATGTAGGCTTGTAGGTGCAGAGAGAGAGCATCACCACCACCCAGAGGCACCTGCCTTCCAGCCATCACCCAGGCCGCCAAGGGCAATCGCTAGCTGATCTAACACACATATTAGTTCTGCGGCATCCTCTGCTTTATATAATGAAATCTTGCAGTGTGGACCTGACTGGATCTGACTTCTTCGCTCTGCATTATGTTAGCTTAGTCACCCACCACTGATCTTGCAAGTGAAGACCCCAACTCTCCATTCTCAGTGTGGTTTAGCTCGAGTGCTTGTCATTTCTCACTGGGATTACTGCCACTCATCTCATGTCTCTGCTCTCCCATCTGAAAGCACATGATCTGATTAAAATGTAGTTTTGATACTTTAACTCCACACCTAACCCTCTTGCATGACTCACAAGACCAAGCTAGTGAGCATCGTTGTTGCCAAGGCCCTGGGAGAGCTCAGTGTTGCCTTCAGCCTCCTCCAGCCCATGCTACAGACCCATCCTGTCACACTCATTCTCCTCGCACACCTGCATCGTCAAGCCTGTGGTCACATCGCCGTCTCCTCCTAGAATGTCTGTCCCCAGATCTCTGCAGGTGAACTTTCAAAGCTCCTTATCCTTGGTCCTCATTGGGCAGGATCAACCCACCCTCTGCCCTTCACTTGTGATCTCGTGCTAACTGCTGCAAATGTGTATTGCAGCACTTAAATTATTCCAGTGTGTTTCATTTTGTTGTTTTGTTTTTAATATCTGGGTCCTCAAAGAGTTTGAGTTCCAAGGGCAAATTTTACCTTTCTATGTGTAACTATGCCTGGCAAAATATCTAGAATGTAATAGGGGCTTAATGAATGTTTTTGGATAAATGAATGCATGCATGAACAGACAAATGAGCAGAAGCCTGGTGAGGAGGAAAGAACTTAGAGTCTTCATTTAGAAGGCCAGGGTTTGAGTTCTTGCTCTGGCATTTAGTAGATTGTTCAGGACATTTAATTTTTATGAACATCAGTTTCATAATTTTTAAAAAGTAGATAACAATAACTGATAAACCAGCCTCAAAATTTTCACAAATAAATGAATATTTGTATATTTTTGTCATCAATTATAACTATTGTAAATAGTTATAATTCATACTTTTATATAATAACCTCTCAGTTTAAGTAAATAAAACCAAAGTTAATTAAAATGCTTACACTATAGTATGGGTTTTGTTTCATATAAGAGAGATTTTTGGAAAATGGAGGAAAACCTATTTTGTTGGTGATTAAAAATTTAAATTTGCATTAAAACTTAAATTTAAATGTTCATTACTTTACATTATATTTAAAATTGAAAGTTACTCTTTTGGCTAAAGATGCTTCTAAAATATATTATTTACTTCTCTGGCTTTTAAATAGAGAAGATTGAACAGAATTAGCCATAGTGAGCATCAGGGCTGATCTGGGCTGTGATATGATCACTCGTGTCTGTTAACACCACTGTGAATCAGTTGCTCTCGTCTAAGATCTTAACTCTGCCTCTAAGGGGTTTTCTGCTGTGCAAATCTCTGTGTTGCCTCATTGTACCCTTTGGTTCTAAGCTATTCTGTTCATCTGCACAACTAATTCCCTACATTCATGTACATCTATTTTAAAATAGGACACACAACACACACACACACACACACACACACACACACCAATTCAAGTGACTTTTTTTCCTGGTTAAAAACCTGGTCATTCCCACTGGGTGGGACCAGGGTTAAAGGAAGAAAAAATAATGTAAAATTTTTATTTCATTTTTTTTGACATTGAATAAATATTACTTTTGCCATTAAAATAATAATGGATATTCCTCAAGTGGAAAAATCCCTGTTTCCCCTCCGCCAGGTATGGAGAAGATCAATTTTTCAGGTGGAGAGCCGTTCATTCAGGACCGGGGAGAATACGTGGGCCAGCTGGTGCAGTTCTGCAAACAGGAGCTCCGGCTGCCCAGCGTGAGCATCGTGAGCAACGGGAGCCTGATCCGAGAGAGATGGTTCCGGAATTACGGTGCGCTTCCCTGGCAGGGCGCCGTAGTCAGTGCTGCTGTGGTTCCTATATTTATTTCCTTCCGTCCTGGGCTTGATGCCAGACCTGCTGGGGAACTGGAGGGGAGGAAAAACAAGTCTTACTTTTTCTAATCACTTTTCAAGCTGTGCATGGGGCCATGGCAGTTTCAGTTCTGTGGGGCTCTAAGTGAACAAGTTCGGAAAGGTAGATGACAGAATACCAGTGCATGACTATCCCACACATGTCAGTCGAGCAGGTGTAAGACCTGCGGCCTTCGTTTAGCTACTAGCAGGAACGATTAACACATTTTGCAGCTTTGTAATAAAATATCTCTGTTGGGACTGGACTAGATCCATTGGCTACTGTGGGAGCTCCAAGGTATTCCACTGTGTAGCCAGGAGTAAGAACCGCTGCATCCTAAGGTAGCTGAGATTCCTTACAGGCAAATCACCTATATGTAATGTCCTTAGACCAGCACCTGGAATTCAGTGAGCACTTGAAAATGTTAGCTTATTCCTAGGTACCGTGATTTTAGGCTACAGTTATAACCTACCCCTTACAGTACAGTTCTCTATTCCTGCTTCATACCAGCTGTTTCAGCCTCAAAACCATTCCCAGGGAAGCTGCATCTGCGGTCTGCAGCGGGTGTGGACAGGGATTCCCCACGTGAGATGGTGGCGTGGGCGTGTGCTCGTGGGTAGGAAAGTCCCCCCGACGAAGGTTAAGCAGGAAGAGAAGATTCAAAGTTTCAGTCCGAGGAGAAGCAGGAAGACTGCAGGGAAGTGTGTGAAAACCAAGGGGTCACCTAACGAAACAGGGGGTTAGAGAGTCACAGTGAGTTTTGGGAACTAGACACAGAGAGACAAGAAACAGAGTTGAGGAAGGAGTGTGCCCAGAGACTCGTGGGAGGCGTGTTCTGGGTGTGGTCCCAGATGGCCTCCAGGATAGGCCGTCCGTGGGTGTCCAAGTGGCGTGCAGAGGAGAGACAAGAGCATCTCTGCACCCCAGGGGCAAACGCTCACGTGCTCCTGTGGGGAGGCTGGTGTAAATTAGCCACTTTGGATTTGGATTAAAAAACCCACGTCACGTCCATGGTGGAGAGACAGTAGGAAAGCGTGAAGACAGGAGAATGGGAAGCAGCCTGCCCTGTTCCTAGTAGACAAGTGGACAGCCAGCTGTGACCTTTGATTGATGTTTGTGCAATATGGGAGTTTGCCTCCCAGATCCTCAAATTATTAAAGATACATCGGAAATCTATATCCTATGTTAAATCTCCCATTACAAATATTTGCAAATAATTTGAAATGTTTTTAGATGTTTTGGGGCACAAACAGAATGTGTGTGTATATACACCACTATCAGGCCCATACCAAAGCTGCAGATTTTCCACCTGCGGTTTAACAAGACAGGAATGGGTCTGTGTGCTTGAGTTGATGAAGACACCTGTTTCAGAGCCCCTACCGCCTCTCCAAGTTTGGTGTTTTGCTAGAAGGACGCCCAGCATTCAATAGTCAGCTATACTCACGGCTAGGGGCTATGAGAGCAAAGGTAACAGGGCGAACACAGCAGGGGGAGGACCAGAGTCCAGTGAGGTCTCACACTGGCTTCTGAGTCCACACAAGTTGTACTTTCTCCCCGGCAGTGAATTACATTGACACATTTGGAATGTCTTTGTACAGGAAGGCTTGTTTGAATCTTAGGGTCCCAGACTTTTATGCAGAGCTGGTCACTTAGGCACATACATGCTGCTATGTCCCCAGCCATAGCAACCAAAACTCAGAACCCCCAGCAATGCAACCAGGTGCATCGTGAATCTTGCTAAACGATCCTGACAAGTCTTGACAAGTGGATTCAACCTGCCCGGTTGCTCCAGGCTTACTCACACACATCACCCATCAGGGACATACAGCGTGCTGTAGCAGCACATATGCAGGGCTGGCCAAAGATTGCATCACGGTTCCAGGATCTCCTGGAAAGATGCAAGGACTGAACAAGCAGATCTGCTGCTTTAAATCTTTCTTCGCAAGAGCTTTGAAGAGAAAAGCTGAGAAAAATAGGAGGGGATGTTACAGACATACGGCAAAAGTAGGAGAGGTGGCAGAATATAGCCATGGGCTTATAGATTCTCAGCTGACTTGGCGATCCGCTAAGTGAGTCTTCACCATAGCTGGCAGTTCCCTATATTTTAAGTTTTTAACAATTTTTTTGAGAGGGTGGTTAGAGACCATGTTTTAGTTAGTTTCCTCTTCCTAATATGATATGCCATTAACCATTTAATTTGAGATCAATTTTTAGGGCTTTCTGAGTTGTGTCAAATAAAATGCAATTGCCTTATTCTGGGTCTGGTTTCTGCCGAGTACTTAGGGGCCTAAGTTCCATATGGGTAAAATAAAAGTAGCCCCCAAAATAGGAGTTAAAAGCCACTATTTTGAGAACAGTTGCTTAAAGAGTTTTTGGAACCCCCTAGCTTCTATAATTTGAAACTAATTTTAAGGAAAAGGAGTCAAATCTAAAAAGTCACAACAACTAGGAAAACTCAGGCTCAACTGCAGAAAGTAACTCAGCCACACAGAGGGAAGCAGAGGAGGAATAAGAAAGGCAGAGAAGGAACTTGTGTTACAGGAGGCAGCAAAGGAGAGACCAAAGCAAAGGCAATTCTCAACGCTTTGACCTGCTATCACAGCTCTTCCCCTGCTGTGTTCCAGGGAGGGGCCTGTCCAGCTCTTCTGGCTCCGGCATGGGCTTCCCTTTATCTTGGTCTCCTTAGCCTCTAATACGGTCGCACCTGACATAGCTCAAGGTCTATGTCATAATGTTCAGATCATGAATCGAACATGCAAGCGATGTCAGGAAGAAGCTAATGAATGTGGCAAAAATATTGGGGATCGTCTAGAGAGCAATTTTATCTGTGTGGTGGGAAAAAGGAGAAGTGAATCTATTACTTGTTCATAGATAACTCTAGAGGCCTCCAAAATGTGTCTACCTGCCTCAGTGATTATATGATTTTGGTGCAGGAATACATGGGGAAAATCCCACTTAAATATATTAAGCACTCACACAAATGCAAAGCTTTATCACAATCAAATATGAGTATCTCCATCGTTATATTATGTGCATACGTTTTCCAAGATTATTTGACACAGGAACAAAGTATAATGCGAACCTCAGTGAGTTTTGTGAGTATGAGGGAAAGTACATTTTTAAAAATTAAAACATAGATGCAAGCAAGATATAGTTTGTTGTAACGAGACATGAGCGGCATGAAGGGTCCTGGGATAGAAATGTTTAAAGACGGTCATTTTCCCTCAGGTGAATACTTGGACATTCTCGCCATCTCCTGTGACAGCTTTGACGAGCAAGTCAATGTCCTTATTGGCCGTGGCCAAGGAAAGAAGAACCACGTGGAAAATCTGCAAAAACTGAGAACCTGGTGTAGGGATTACAGAGTGGCTTTCAAGATAAATTCTGTCATTAACCGATTCAACGTGGACGAGGACATGAACGAACAGATCGCAGCGCTAAGCCCCGTCCGCTGGAAAGTAAGTACACAGGGTCACTTTTGCTGATTTTAACTAATAAAACATTCAGGAGAGCCCTTCTTCAGTGAAATCAGAAAACAATGCTACAGGGAAGCTGGAAACCCACGGCGCCAGCCCCAGACCAGGCCCTGGTCGCTTAGCTCTGTTATAGCTGCAATTATACTTTCCATGCCCCGATTTCCTTTCTGAAAACCGGAACCGATGCTCTCCTACAGGATGTTGTCAGGGTAAAGGTCAAAAGATATGCCAAGTGCTTGGGGGTGTTCCGAAGAATTTGTCCATAGAAAGCCTAAATTTCTTCTTAAAACGTTCAGCTTATTTAGGGGTGGACATAGGTGCTCTATCAGTTCTGATGCTACTGAGTTTCCATTGAATTATCAGAAGGCATTAGGGGTAAAGTCACCCCCAAGTTGTAACAAAATAGCACCTTTACTCCCAGATTCATGCTTCAGGGCTAGTCCTACTATCAGCTGCTAAAAGTTCAAGGTTCTCAGACACACACAAGCCTACTCAATCTGTACACAGCCACAACGGACAGATACTTGCAGATAAATTACTATGAATTCAAGTTTTCTACACTTGGCTGTTTGTCAGAATCAACTCAGGGTGGCTATCTAAAAAGCAGCTTCTTGGACCTCATCCCCTGCCCAGGGTCCTGAAGCAGGACGTGTGGCCAAGGCGGGCTTAGCAGGTAGGCTCGCGAAAGTGTGTGTTGCTAGCACGCTGCCCAGGTGATGGCGTGGCTATCTGCATCTGCGTCTGGACTCCAGGGTAGATGCAACTAAAGACAAAGTGCTGAATTCGGCTCTAGCAAAGAAAAGAGATGCAGGAAAACTCGTGGAATATAAAGCTACAGGTGCTAGCAGAACATGGAAAGGCAAAACGGGCCAAGCTTACCTGGAAGGCTTCATGTAAGAGGTGGCATGTGGCTGTACTCTGAAAGACGGAAGGAATTCCCACAGGTGGGAAGGCCCCAGGCAGAAGGTCATGTCCAGGCTAGAGCACCTGCCGCACAGAGAAGCTTTTCTTTCAAGGCTGCCTTGGGTGCTTCCCCCATTCTCCTGTCAGCTTCCAAGTAGATGGGGAAGGGTGTTGCGTTATCTTCCTGAGGTTGTCCTAATATGTGGAAACGGATTAAAGGAAGCTGGAAATGCTACTTACTTTTAAAATGTTTAAACAGACAGATTAATCTTGAACTTTGGGTAAGCTGAAATACCAGCCCCACTCCCTGGCCTGGAAGGAGCTGAAAAAAGCTCAAGAAAGAAGGGTGGTGGAAGAGCAGGGGCTGTGCTCCAGGGGGCACAGAGAGCTCAGCTCGAAGATGCTGATCTGCCCCTTGGACACTCTGCTGTCTCACCTCTGAGCCTCCTTTCTTGCTGTTACTGTCGTCCTCGTTCTTCTCTTGTGACATCCTTTTTCCAGATATATATATATATATATATATATATCTTTTTTTTCCCCTCGTCGCTCTTGTTTCCTATCTCAGGGCTCTTCTCCCCTATCCTGTGACTCTTTCTCAGCTTTCCTATTTGCCTGATTCCTCCAAATTTGCCATTTCAACATCCCAGCCCATGTGGTGGTACAGAGATAGCTCTGCCTCTCTGGGGAACCGTTTCCTCACCGGAGCACTGACGTCTGTCACCCGCTGTAAATTGATGGCCCCAGACCAGGTGCCTGCTCTTAGTCCAACTGTTCACGTGGCCCAGAACCCGGTACCCAAGGCTGCCCCTGCCCGGGCGCTGTGGGCTGCAGGCACGCCCCCGCCCCATCCATAGGCTGGGAAGGGCAGCGCTGAATGGGCGGTGGGCCGGTCAGTGGGGCTGGGGCTGCCTGCAGGCTTGCTCCAGCAGCAACTGCTCCGCCTTCCGTCCCCGTCCACCCCACTTCCAGCTCCTGTGGTCTGGTTTTCTCCCCCCCTCCACTCTAGCTGGTTGATTCTGGAATTGAATGTCCCCACCCCTCTGATATGGAGTCCCTCAGGGCCCAAACCTAGCTGGAGGGTGCTCCTCCCAACACCCACCCCACCCTGAGCTTGGCCCTGCAAGTCATGGGTGCAGGGATGAGTGCCAGCCCTGCCCAAGATGCTGGCCGTCCGTTGAGGAAGGCACCAGGACAGCAAACAGCAAAGATGGCCAAGACCAGGGCCAGGAGACAGGTGTCCAGGACTGGGGAGGGCAGGAGGGAGAAATAAACAGTGAGCAGAGAAGGCGAGATCAAAGGCATGTTAAAGTTCATGCTAATCTGGCTGCAATGGCATCAGAGCAGCTCAGAAGAGGACATTAATTAAACTCTGTGTAGATTAACCCTTTCCATGAAAACCCTCGAGATCTGGGCTCTGTTCTGGCCGTGTCACCCTTTGTCACCTTGGACAAGTCACTTCCTTGCTTGCCTTTCCTGGGACTGAGTTCTCCTCTTCAAACAATGGCATTACTTATGATGGAATAATGCATTACACACACTCACACAGATTTATTTACTTAAAAGAATGTTGAATATTAATGGCTTCGAAAAACATATATTAAAGTGAAAAACAAATATACTCTAGAGGCTTTAGTGAGGATTTATTGAAAATCAGCAGAAACAACAAAATAGTTAAAATGTATTTTCCTTGGTTTGGAGATTACAAATGACATGTTTATTTTTTGATGCTTTTTTTTATGATTCATATTTCCTTTAATAAACATTCATCATTTTATAGTCTGAAAATATTAGATTACAAGACCAGGTTTTGAAAGTTTGTGTTTTAAAGAATGGTTGTGCTTCTAACACCATATTTCTAAATTTCAGGGCTGGCTTATTTCTCCAAAGTCGTGTCTTTCTAGAATGTTCCTTAGTTCTGAGTGTCTTCTTTGCTTAGCAGGGATGAGGCTTGGATCGGGGCGAAGTCAGGTTTGGTGGAAGAAATGAAGGAAACTGTTTACCGAGCAAACCCCACCCCTGCCTTCCAGGTGTTCCAGTGCCTCCTAATCGAGGGCGAGAACACCGGAGAAGACGCCTTGAGAGAAGCCGGAAGATTTGTCATCAGCGATGAAGAATTTGAAGGATTCTTAGAACGCCACAAGGAAGTGTCCTGTTTGGTGCCTGAATCTAACCAGAAGGTTGTATAGAGCAAAAGTGGTTTTGTTTACTGTCACGCGTTTAGATTGATTTCTTGCAGGGGGGCGGTTTCTCAGCCAAGGGCGCGGCTCGCTGTTGCATGAGAGGTTCCGCGTGAAGAAATGGGAGGAGGGCTGTCCCAGGGCAGCGGGGACGAGGCCCACCTCCCGGCTGTGGGGTCTTTGATGAGCTGCGTTTCCCTGTCCACAAATGCCTAGAATGCTGCCTTTGTGGATGATAGGACTGTATCTAGAATCACAGGTCATCTCCATATATGATGCATATATGTATCGGCTTTACATATGCCATACATATATGACATAGTCCTACGCATAGAAGAAACTAGTGAATGCTGCTACATTGATATCCACATCATCACATTATTTATTCTAATAATCTTTTTGGATAATTTTAAATGTTGGGTAGGATGTAGAAGAAACATTTCATCAATTCTTTAGTTTTCTAATATCACTAAACTGGGTACATGCTATTAGTGCCAATTTCATACATAGATTAAGCGGGGATGGCCAAAGCGTGTCTACACTATGAAGCTTCCGGGTATTACTAAAGGCAGATTGATTGATGTGTTGATTGATCGATGTGTTGATTGATTGATATGTTCTCATAAGCTGAAGAAAAATAATTCTTTGTTCTTCCTGCCATAGTAGAGGAACCTCCTTATTAATGAAAGACATGAAAAAAATTTAAATTATGAATGGTATATCTGAATACATAAAAATTAAAAATATATGTCACACATTATAAAAACTAAAGTAGAATATGCTAACATGATATACTAAACTACGTAAAAAATATTATATACAAAAAGTTCTTTAAATCAATAAGAATCTATTAACAAACACACACAAGAAAAAACACAAATAAATACAAATTAAAATACAGAGCATGAAGATGCAGTAAGCTAGGCAGTTTCATATTGTTAGTTGGAGGACTAATTACTGCAGCTGTCCTGGAAAACAAATCGGTAACTTATGGTAATAATCTCTCAAACAGTCACATATTTTAATTCAAAAATTACACTTAAAATAGAGGAAATATTCAGAGACGCAGAGAAGTATTCATGCAAAGGCATGTTACTGCAATTAAGAATAATGGCAAAAATTAAAGCTAGCCTAACATTCAGCATATAGAATAGAGAACAGGTAAAGCTTTCTATTCACAGAATGAAACATTATCCCATCTATAAAGCATATTTCAAAGACTATTAATGAAGGGACAAGGATAAATTCTCATAATAAAATATTAGGTAGAGATGATACCAGTTACATACGAAAAACAGAGTGCAAAATTAAACTGAAGTTTAATCCTAATGGACAGAAAGATGCATCTACACATATCACTGTGGTTATCTTGGAGTAGTAGAATTATCGGTAGTTTTTATTTACCTTCAGAACTTTTTTGGACTTAAAAAAGCTTGTAAAGTAAGTATCAGTTTTATTATTTAAGAAAACATTTTAAAAACAGCTTCTCCCATCTGCCACCCAAAAATACACATGCAGAAAAATCTCTCCCCCATATGCTTGCATGATGTTAGGAATTCCAAGAACAGAAATTCATTCCTTCTGCTTTAGACTTCTGAGGGTCTTGGTAAATGGTTAGAGTTTGAAAGGTGACGTCGAAGGGAGCATGAATAAAAAAAGTCCCGGACTAAGGGACAAGGTGGCTTCCAAAAAGAAGAGGGAGAGGGAGTAGAGGAGGAAAACCGCTCCTCTCTATGCACTATTTTATGTCATTTTTTAAAAACTCCATCTTAATTGTGTAGTTAATATGAGATCAAAGAAAACAAGGTAGTTGTAATAAATGTTACTGCAGTGTTGTTGGGTCCTTTTTTTGTACAAGGGACCATTAACCCTCGTACAAAGGCCGAGTCTTAAGGTGTTCATTGATCTGACTTGTATCAGCAGCAAATCCAGGATTTGGGTGACCCCAAAGCCCAGGAACCTTCCAGCCAGTGTGTTCCAAACTTTGTGTGCACACGAATCGCCTGGGGTCTGATAAGAGGGCAGACCCTGACTCAGTAGGTCTGAGGCAGGTCCCATAGACATAGGCGGCTCTGGGCCCTTCCCCCCACTTCCCCTGCAGACTTCCAAGAGCAGGAAGGCGCCTGGCCCTGCACAGGAGTGGGCAGGCTGTGACCCAAGGGACAGATCTGGCCTGTCACCTGTTTTAGTACAGGATGCAAGCTAAGAATTGATGGCAGGGAACGTCAAAACAAGAATAATACTGCGACCAGTGACAATGATGTAAAAATTCCATTTTCGGGGCCCGTAAACACAGTTTCAGTGGAACTCAGCCACGCCCATTGGCGAGGGTGGCTTTTGGGCTACAGCACAGAGTTGATCACTTGTGACGTAGACTGTGTGGCCTGCAAAGCAGAGACTATTTGCTCTCTGGCCTTTTACAGAAAACTGTTTACTGACCCTACCTATGTGGGTGGGCATTAGGAGGTATACCTACCCACAGGAAGCACAGGTGTACCCACAGGAGGCATAGCTGTCTATACATAGAGTAATACGAAAATCCTCAGCAATGCCACCCCTTAACCTCCCAGCTACCAGCATCAAAGAAAACTCTGCTTTATCCATTGAAAAGGGGAAATTAGATACACGGCGCACACAGTCCCTGGGGATTCTGAGTAATGAAGAAAAGAGCTCTCCCACAGCATGAAGGAACGGAGAAATGGCCTGGGATTCCACAGTCAGAAAAGCTTCGGGGTGAAGGTTTGACCCTTTCTGCAATGGACAGAGCATCCAGGCTTGCTAGAATCTGTTGGGAACTAACTGTATGCACACAAACCTTGTAAGGGACACAACAAAGACACTCAAGTGAGATGAGAAACGTTGGCTGCAGAATAATAAATCACAATTGCACGAACACTGTAAGAGAGACAGTTGAGCTCACATGCTGAACACCACCCTTGACACTAAGTTTGCATTTGTTTTCTCCTTTGCAGATGAAAGACTCCTACCTTATTCTGGATGAATACGTGAGTATTTCTGAGTTATACAATTACCACTTAAAAATTAATGAAGCAGTAATGCCAGAGTTGAGTTACATGAGCATAACTATCTAGCACGTGTTTATCCTTAACTAGCATTTCATAGTTCTATTGTCAGTGATTGCCATTAATAGGACAGAACCTTCCTTACCGTGTCAAGTGTGGGGCTGTGCACGCCGCAGGCATAATCGTGAACCCAAGTCCCTGTGTTTGTAGTAACCACTGTGCACTGTGTCTCCCATGTGGCTCTACATCCATGGATGTCACTCTGAACCCATTATCTCACACCACAGTGTCACCTGTTGTGCAGTCGTGGGCTGGAGGTTTTCCCAAAGCAAGGCACCCAGGTTACTTGGGAGGAAGGTCACCCACAGTTCACATTCTCTGGGATAACCCAGAGGCAGCCGGCTCATCCTCTGACTGATAGGCCCTGCTGGCCTTGGCAACCAGAGCCCGGTTCCTCCCCAAACACCACCGGTATTATTCCTGCCCACACTGTCTTCCAGAGGAAAAGGAAAAGCCACCCTGCTCCAAATTGAAAAGCAAATCACTTTTCCTTTTCCTCTGTCTTTTTTTTCCCCCTACATTTATAACCTTTGCCAATATTTCTAGCAGAGGATAAACAATCTCATTCAAAGATGTGTTTTCTTAAGAATTGAGCTCCAACCACAACCTTGGGTCCAATATTTAAATTGAGTTTGGTTTTTTTGAGAAATGCTTACTGTGACTTTTGGCCTTTTGTTATCTTCAAGTTAATCAATGATGCTTTACAGCTATTTCTTATTAATGTGAGCTTTCTTTATAGAGTGTAAGAGGAAAGAGGATAACAGAAATGTTAAGTTTATGAGTCCAAGGTAGAAAGGAAAATTCAAACAATTTATTTCGGGGATGCAAATTCTAATGATTGGCGGGGGATTTTGAACAGCGTTCCTCAACAAACTGTCTGGTCTTCACATAGCTGGAACAAACATAGCCGAGCCAAAATTTACTTTTGCAAATTTAATAACATTTTGCTTCAATAAGTCTCACTTGAGCTCCCACAAAACTCTTAGTGTAGGTCATAAGATGTGTGAAGACCTCATTTCTTCCTACAAGGTAAAATAGGATAGGATAAAACAAACAGAAGTGGATAGAATAAGATAAAAATGGAGACCCTTCACAGATAAATAAGACTCCCCTCAATCTGGTACCTGTCTGCCTCCACAGCTTCTGTATCATTCTCTTACCCTTTCTTAAAAGAAGCTTTTATTAATATTTATGCTTATATGTTCATGCACAGGATTTTTATTCCAGAAATATCATCTACTTGCAGTTTCCGAAACACATAGTACTATTTCATGATTCTGTGCTTTTATAATGCTGTTCCTTCTGATTAAAATTGTCAAAACGCAATTCAGATGTCAGCATTTGGGGGAAGCGTTTCCTGATTATCCCCTCCACTGGAGAAACATGTGCCTCATGTAGGGTGTGTATAATTCGGTTTATTGTGTGCTTAATTGATCTAATACATCTGCATCAGCCTCTTCCGCTAGAACCCGAGTTGGTTGAGTAGAGAGAAGGGATCCAATTAGTTCAGTATCTGGCCACAGATCTAAAAGGAAACACTTGTTTACATGATTGGAATATCAAACGTTATCTTGAATTAAAACCCTAAATGAAGCTTTACAGGATAAATTACGTGGAAATATCCCCGTGTCTCTTATGCATTTCCTAGATGCGCTTTCTGAACTGCCAAAATGGACGGAAGGATCCTTCCAAGTCCATCCTGGATGTTGGAGTAGAAGAGGCTATAAAATTCAGTGGATTTGATGAAAAGATGTTTCTGAAGCGAGGAGGAAAGTATGTATGGAGCAAGGCAGATCTGAAGCTGGACTGGTAAAGCAGAAAGCGGAACAAGACTTAAACTCACCAGCAGGGATAAGAAAACTCCTAGCGTGGCTGCCCTTGTTGGCAAGACTGCTGTGTTGGTATTCCTCAACGGCTGAAAATCTGATTTCTGCTGCACATGACATCTGATTGTCTGTGGTCACCGAACATGTAGATAACTTGGATAACTTAAATCCATAGATAATGCAAAACCATTAAGTTTACTCAATTATCTTACTGTTATTGAGAAAGGACTTCTGTTTTTGAGTTTTATTTATATAAAAAGCTTAGATAAATCACCTACATACAGGACCTAAAATCGAGTTCAAAGGTATGCTTGTAAGAAATAAGCTCCAGTGATGTCTTTGGGGGCAATATCTAATTCGGATTTGATTTTCTAAGAGATGCTTACTGTGACTCTTATATTTCAGTTTTCAAGCTATTTATATCTAGTTTTGTTCATTTGACTGAGTCGATATTTTCTGCTCAGTCTCAAGATACCAGTTTTTACATCTGGGAGCATTACAAAGTATCTCCCCAAATTATTTCTGCTTGTTGTCATGCCTTTTCCTTTTGGGACTTTATACCATTGCAATGTTGGACGTTTTACCCAGGCGCATAGAAATAGTCAACAGATGTTTCCAAGAACAATAAATGAGTATCTTGCCAGTTTCCAGTGAGCGCCTAGAAGGAGACAATATGAGTAAAGCCAGCGTGGCACTGCCCCAGCACACAAAGACTACGGGGTGAATGCCCTGCCCCTTTCTCTTTCGTGATTCTTGGCAAAACCAAGACAGACACCACATTGCACAATGCAGTTGACGTGGAGCCACTGCTTGCAATCCTTTGCCAACACAGTATTCAGGCCACATGAGGCCGTCAAGCAAAAAAGTATGAGTTTGGTTGAGCGGGTGGTCGTCCCCTAGCCCTAGGTCAGGGCTGGCGCGAGCTCCCCCGCAAACATGCCAGACGCCCCGTGCAGGAAAGAATGCAGTGACGAGTAGAGAGTGTGCCTGGACTTTATGGAAATGAAGCCATGGCACAATATAAGATTTCTCAATTAACTCTGAATCAATTGAAATAAGATGCAATCTAGGTCAATATGAGAAAAACCAGGGTCTTCCTTTTCTAGCTCAAAGAAAGAGCACGAGGGACAATATCACTTACACTGGGTGAGGGAACAAAATCCTCTCCTTGTGGAAATGTTGCATGAAGCGTGTTTACATAACCCAAACAGTATCTCATTGCCTGGAAAATAACAATTTCCTATTATTGTTTCAAAAGAGCAAATTCATGGAAAAGTGTTTTTTTTTGCCCAAGCAAAGAACAAGTATTTAGTAATTTTAATTCAGCTGCAATTCCACTTCTGCTCACTGGGTGGCATTTACATGTTGCCTGATTTCGTGAAGCACCATCCAGAAATTTTGCTTAATGATCTATTTTCAAGACTTGGTGATTTTTGAAAGGTTTGTTTTTTGTTTCTTGAACAAAAAAATTCCTACTTAAATTTTTAGGTCACTGTAATTCAACTTAAATATGTGTGTGTTCCATCCAGCATGCTATAGCTTGCCCTGTATTTTCCATTTTACGCATTTACTTTTTTGAGAAAAGAGAACAAATTAGAAAGTTTTCTTTCCCCTGTGGGTTTTGATAGTATATAAACTATGATGGCTTCAAATAATTAGCATAAACAAAAACAAATTTTTTAGGTAACATGAGTGCACTTTGCTGACCCTCACACTATTTAGCAAGAGAATAACTTCGGCAAAGAATGACCACACGTGTGAAAGCACAAATACCTTGTCTGATACACAGCAGATGCTTAGTCAGTGTGATTTGAAACCACATCTGAAAGTGAAGTTCAAATCTTTTGAGTTGGAGTGAATTTTTCTCTAATGGCAGAAAACTAACAAAGAATAATTTAACTGAGTCATCTTATTTATGCGTTAAAGGCAAGTATTTGGGGGTGGACCTAATTATTGCTTAAGTTTACATTATAATAACATGAATGGAATTTTGTCTTAAGAAGCCTGGAATGATCAGATATGAGTAATAACATATTGGTTTAGGAAGTACTAATCATCTCTATTATTCATTGATAAACAATATGGCAGTTGCCTGTTTTCTTTCCAGTTTTGAAGTTTGGCTGAATCCTCTGAAATAGGAGCTTGTGTTTTATCTACATCAGGAGTTTAGAGCCTAGTTGTTGGGTAGACAGACACCAGGACAATCGAACCAAGTAGCAATACGCCTCTATTCGGCAATAATTCATTCCATAATTACTCTCTTGTTGAAAGGACTCCATTTAACAGGCTGATTAGACAGAGACCGATCATGCTGTAAGATTTTAAGGCTTTGTTTTGAGTGTGTCGATGATATTTTCGTCTTTAGAGAAATATATAGATTTTTTCCATATATGTTACACTTGAGTACTGGTCAAATGTATTGTAACCTATTTTAATATATTAAAGTGTTTTTTATATCGCCTTTTCTTTCAGTGGTTCAATGTAATGAAGTCTCTCCTTGGTGTGGGTTTAAAGTCATTGTGTGCTTTTACAAACTATGATTGCTAAGGCAAGTACACTTTAAAAATCAACAAAGTTATCGATAATGAGTAAGCACACTTCAGACGAGGCCCTCAGCCGCAGCACTGGGTGGGGATGAGCCATTAGGGAAGATGCTCTTTCTATTCTAAAGTGAAAGCCAACATCATGGGTACTCGGCATCCCCAAATAAATTATTTCAGAAGAAACAAACTCCTATGGATGGGCAGCAATGACAGCACCTCAGCCCTTGCCGTGAGCCCTGAGTGTGGCCTGGTCAGCCACCCAAGGCCTGGGAGAAATGAGGGCTGGGGGAACCACCGTAGTGGTTCCAGACCTGGTCCCTGCGAGCCAGCCATGTCCCTGCTCTGGTGTTGTCCTCGCAGGACTCACTCACCAGACTGGTCCTCCTGGATGTGGAGAGATAGGGCAGCCTCATGCCCATGCACCAGCCCTGAAGGTGGTCAGGTGAACCCCACGGTGTGCATCTATCTCTGTTGGCAAGCTGTGCCCACAAAAGGGGTGACGAGTTCCCCGCTGAAGACCTGCTCTGAGGACTTCACGAGACTCAGCGGCGTTAGGGAAACCAGGCAGGCACCAGAGTGGGATCAAGGCAGGACCCCGGACCTAAGGACGGACCCAGCACAGCGGGGCAGAGTGCTCCTAGGAAGGGCAGAGCCGGGCCAGCACCCGGAATGAATCGGGCTGGCTCTGCAAGCTGCTACCCCCAGCCTAGGAGCAGCTTGCATTTCTCCTTTCCAGCCTGTCCTTCCTCTACTTCCCCGGCCCCGGTGTCCACCTTAAACCAACCTGACTCAGATTCGGTCCTCCTGAGACACGCAGCAGTTTCTCCCAAACCTGCTCCCACATGTGAGCTCTGGTGTAAACACTCATTTCTTCAAGAGGAGCACGGTCCCACTGCCCCTCCCACCTCAGACACAGGCTGACCCTGGCTCCCTCCCGCAGATTCAGGGGCTTGGAGACAGTGGAGGAACCTCCGGGGGCAGCCTGAGACCTTGGTCGCTGTGTTTCGGCCCCGACAGCCACACGGAATGCACAGCTCCACGTCAGACCCCCGCTGGTTCATGTCCAACCAGGTCAGGTTTAATTACACAGAAAACCCTACAGTACCCTCAGGATAAGTATAGCAAGTCCAGTTCAGATAACATCAAAACAGGCTTGAAAGACCAGAAAGATTTTAACAATATTTATTGTTGCATGATTCATTAAAAAATACACATTTGGAGGATATTTGAAAAACAGTAAAACAAAATGAATAAAATAACAATTACCCATAATTGTATTCCCTAGAAGTAACTGCTAATTTAGCTCATGTCTTTCCAGTCATGTGTATCATTTAATAGAATTGAGTTCATAAGCAATAGCTTTATTTTTTATATAATATCTTCTGAAGTTTTTTAAAGCCAATTAGCATTTTACACTGTAACGAGAACAGCCAGTTCTTAACATTTCACACTAATAGATGAGAAGACATTCAATAGCATTCAAAAAGACCATAGTTAATTTGAGGAAAAAAAAAAAAACTATTGGATTTGGTCTGTGAGTTGTTTACATAGTTCTTTACAAATATAAGTATTCCATGTTCTGGGAATTCATTTTATCTTTAAAAAATATGTATGCATATTAATTAAAACAAAGCTTCTCTGTGCAAGCTCATTTTTGGAGGATCTGAGAAACTGCCCGAAAGCTATTTATTTTTTCATTCAGGGCCACTTCAACTTGTTCCCGAAACCTCCTCAGCAACCTATCTGACCTCTCTCAGCTCTCTCTTGGAGTTTGGGTGATAAACAACTTCCAGAAAACTCCTCCACACAAGGAGGTGCTTATTGAGGTGTCAGAAAACCTCGGGTATGTATAAAATTGGTGCTCTCTTGTTTTTATGAAGAGTACCTCATTGTTCTTTAAATCATAACTCACATGCCACTTTTTCCAGGAAGCCTAACAGATAGTAGGCATTCACATGCTGCTTAAGTCAAACTGACCAGAACACCACACACTGGAAGACTTACACAACAGAAATTTGTTTCTCTGCAGGCCGGGAAGTCCAAAATCAAGGTGCCAGTCTCGACTCAGCTCCTGGGGAGGGCTTTCTTCCTGGCTTGCAGACTGCTGTCTTGTCCCTGTGTCCTCCTGCGGTGGAGAGAGAGAGAGAGAGAGAGAGAGAGAGAGAGCAAGATCTTTCTCTCTCACTTTTTGTTCTTATAAGGCCATAGTCACATTAAATATGGACTTTACCCTTATGACTTTGCTGGACCTTAATCACCTCCTAAAGTCCCTGTCTCCAGACACTGTCACATTGGCGGTAAGGGTGTCAACATCAGATTTTGGGGGTAGGGAACATTTCAATCCAAATCATGACCCGCCATTAAACATGGAAGGTGTGATATGCTTAATAGAAACGGCCCACCTTTACATGGTGCCATGTGAGGAGGTCAGTTGTATTGAGGATGCAATGCTGTGAGCCGTAGGACTTGCTGATTCCTGGAAGCATCCAATACTTTAAATATAGCTCTCCTCCGCTGAGACAGAGCCTGGGATGTCTTCACTACAATTGAGCTTGTGGCTTAGCCCCAGAATTCCTATGAAATACAAAGAGTTTTAGAAAATATCAAACATTAATCTTGTACTTATCAATTTGTCATGGGCATGTGTCAGCCCTGCCTTTCCCCAGGTACAGGCCAGGTGAGGGAAGAGAAGGGGACAGAGGCAAACTTCACTATTTCCTACCTAGTTGCCTACCGTAAACTCATGCTATCTAGCAAGACTCTTGTAGCTTAACGGCTTGACTAAGGAAGGGTTAAATAACAGGTAAAGCAGCAGTAGAAGAAGGCTTGGATGGCTTGAGATGAAGGAATCGGTGTGTGTGATTAAAGGCAGGTTACTTAGGTTCACAGAGACCCAGTTTCCTCATCAGCAAAACAAGAGCATAATGCAAAGACCAGTGCAAGGGCTTGATCTACTTACACAAAAAGCCTAAGGCTCTATCTGGAAACTGACAACAGTTAACATTGTGCGAAAGACATTCTCCAGAACCTGAGATAACTTAGAATGCAATATACAAAACCACAAGCCACAGCTTGAAGTAAAAAATTGTCCTGAGCAACAACAGAGGACATTTGGGCTTTGGGGACAAACATCTTAGAGAATGTGAGGTTTAAGATGACCATCCATTCACTAATTTACTCGTTTACTTTGCACCCATGATGTATCAGGTATTACAGTAAGTGTGAAAATACAAAAATAACATGCGACAAAGGACTAATATCCAAAATTATGAGGAATGCAAACAAATCAGCAAGAAGAAGAAAAATAACCACTAAAAAGGGTACAAGTGACCTCAATAGACATTTTTCAAAAGAGAGTATACAAATGACTAACAATTATATAGGAAAATGCTCAATATCACTAATCATCAGGGAAATGAAGATTAAAACCATAATGAGATTCTACCCTACTTTAGTCAGAATGGTTGCTATTAAAAAAATCAAAAAACAATAGATGTTGTCATTGAAGGCAGTGACAAAGGAACAGTTATGGACTGTTGGTGGGACTGTAAACTAGTACAACCTCTGTGGAGATCAGTATGGAGATTCCTCCAAGAACTAAAAGCAGCCCTACCATTTGATCCAGCAATCCCACCACTGGGTATCCACTCAAAGGAAAAGAAGACATTATATCAAAAAGACACCTGCCCTTGTATGTTTATCACAGGACAATTCACAGCTGCAAAGATATGGAATCAACCTAAGTGCCCATCAACTGAGGAATGAATAAAGAAAGTGTGGTGAGTATACACACACACACACACACACACACACACACTATGGAGTACTACTCAGCCATAAAAATGAATGGAATGATGCCTTTTGCAGCAACTTGGAGGGAAATGGAGGCCATTCTCCTGAGTGAAGTCAGGGATGGAAAACCAAACGCCACGTTCTCCCTCGTAAGTGGGAGCAAGCAATGGGTGCGTGTGGTCACACAGAGTGTATAACGGGGACAGAGTGTATAACTGGGGACTCAGAAAGGGGCGTGTGGGAGGGGGTGAGGAATGAAAATCTCCCATTGGGTGCGACATACACTGCTCGGGCACACACAGAAAACATGGCTGGCTCTGGTCTGCAGCTCTCGGTGTTAACGGGGATATTGAAGGGAGCATCTCCCAGTGCTCAGACCTGGCAAATTCGACAGAACGCATCTTCCTAACAACGGTTAGCTCCGTTTCATGAGGAACGGCGCCATGGAGCTGTTCCCGCCTCAGTGGCCTCAGAGCTGAGAGACACAGAAACATGTGCAGCGACAGGACGCAAAGCAACCTGGAGCGGGACCCCAGGTACACCAGAAAACACCCTCACTCGGGTTGGCAGAGGTACAGCTCCAGGAGGGGCTGAGGCCTTTGGACTTCATGGTCCGCTCTGCCATATTGACCAACGTTTGCGTTCTCCTTGGGGATGGCGCCACCACACTATGGGGTGGCACCACAGTGATCTTGGCCTCGGAAGGGACGAGCCTTTGCTGCCTCCCAGTGAGCAGGCGGTTCTTCTCTTACGTGAGACTATTCCGTCCTCAAGGGCAGTGAGTGCATTTCTGCAGCTGACAGTTGTTGAGCCCTTAAGCATGTGGCTAGTACCGTGTTAAGTGCTTTCCATAGATTTTTTTTTTTAAAAAAACCGTCATGAAAGCTTTAAAAGAGAAGTGTAATTACCCTCATTGTATGGCCGAGGAAACGGAAGCTGAAGGAGTGTAGCTAAGGGGACTACACACACAGCCAGACTGGTGACACCCGGACTGACTTTGGCACCAGGCTGAGCCCAGCTCAGGGGGAGAAAGCTGTTCCCTCCTCCTGTCTAACTGCCCGAGACCCAGGGTCCACCTCTCCAGGTTTTGTGTGTTGTTATTATTGGTTTGTTTTAATC